AGCAAGTGGCACAGTGCTCAGGTTCCAGAAGAACCCGTATAAGTGTGTAATCTGGTAGGTACATTCTGTCCACAGTAAGCGAGAGAATGTCTCCCAAGGGCCAAAGTAAGTGCTGTTGATTGGGACACATCAACATGTTGACGGCCAATCCCGATAAATACCGCAAAAACCCGCTTCGATGCAAGCCTTTGAGCGCAAACTGCTGAGACGCAGAGATCGAGAGTCTGAGACTCTATCCGAGTCATGACAAGTTTTGACCTAACCTAAAGTGAAGGTGATGAATATAAGAGGTCTCGAGCTGGGATTATCCCACCGAAAATCGATGTGAGGGCCTAGGAGTGCGAGGTCTCTCGTCGGCGACATGAACTCAGATTGCGGTCAGGACACTATAGCCTATAAAGGTTCACAGACCACAAATACACGCCGCCCCCCCAATGATTCCAGGTTCAGGAAGCGGTGCCCGAGCCAGTTTGTCCATTCAGAACATTTTCAATCGCAATTTACAGACTTGGATTCGTTCTCGACTTCAGTTTCCTTCAGAACTTACTTAGAAGCAATCCTGCCTCGATTACCAAGGTACTTTCCGGGTACAAACTCACTATTGATAGGCTCCTCCGTGGTCCGCTCTTGACGGTGGCTATACCTTATTCATTGACTCCGAAGAAAACAGACCGCGAGTCAGTCTTCCTTCCGGTGATCAAGTCACGGTGGCTTTGTTGACACTCTCAAGGCAAAAGCTAACGTACGCCATATATTCAGGCATCACCCAAGCTTCCAAGAAATATGAGCGGCGAGTCACAGATTCTTCAGGTGTAAAATGAGTTAGGACCCCGACGTGTATCCTATTGTCTGACGCTGTGGCGTGGCGCGCTTTTTTGGGCTTGTTTTCCCTGTCCCACACCCAAGCAGCGGGACAGCTCGCGCTCCTTTCAATCTCCCCATTGACAGCCAAGCCTTTCTCATATTCAACTTTGGATTGCAAATCATAAAGCACTGCTTGGCTATATGTAGAACGCCTCAGGTCCTCGGCGGACAAACTCGGATACGTGTTCTTGGTTTTGGCCACCCTTCGAAAATTTTTGATTCTTCCTCCAGAAACCACACTATCTCGACAATCACTGATGAGAACACGGACAATCTCCCGATAGACTCGATCCATTTGGCCCGGGTCTATTGATGGTCTTGATCACACTCAACGGGGGCTATATATCCCAGAAAAAAACATCCCGAGTCGGTAATCTGCTTCCTGGTCTGGCACTTTCAATGTACGGCTTTGAGGAGCCAAAAACTCTGGATTAGGGCGCAAACCTAGTGGACCGCAGACGTCTTTTAAGTAAGTGCAAACTTGTTCGGCGTCCGGGTGTAAACCACAAATGATACAGCGAATTATGGGCGGTTATGTGTTCTATCAGCCGTTAGTGGCCAAATCAACGAGAACCCTCATAGCAACTATCCGACCGACGCGATACACCCGGTCTACTTACCAAAATACGCCTGTCTCACCCTCACGCATTAAGATCATGAACATCCTCTTTCCCGCCGCTCTTGGGACTGGGTGGAGATCGTGTATTGGCCCAGAGATCAGGCGGGCTTACTTATACCCAATGCATAGAGCGCCACCTCAAGGGGGAAAAGGGCAATGTACGATTCCTCAAATGCACCACAAAGCTGAGTACCAAAGCCATTTCGACCAACCGGAAGAAAACCAATTGACTCGCGGCGAAATTCAGTGAATGGGATACAGCTACCGCCGTTGAGAATCCTCCTGGACCAGGTTCACCTCGGAGTGCTCGGGAAAGGTAGGGTAGCTTCTGAAGGAACCCGTCGACCGAGGTCAAGAACGGATTTGAGCTTTTTTGTCAAGGCTTGAAGATCTGGGAACGCCAAGCATTAACGGAGGATCTTTCGGCGTCCGGACTGAAAAAGTACTGTGAAGCAGTCTATATATTGTGATATATGATACGATGGACGTTATGTATTCTATCAACCACTATTGGCCGCTCTCAACACGTAGTAGTACCACTCAACCTCCACAACGACCCATACTCATGCCTTCGGTCAACTATCCGATCGACGCGACACACCAGGTCCACCCGCCAAATACGCCTGTCTAGCATCCTCATCATAGCCACCCGCATATACCACCCCTTCGTCACTACCACTACCACTCCCACTCTTCTTCTCATCCTGTTCCTCGTGCTCTCCCTCTTCAAAATCAGGATTCACAACAGACAACCTCCTCCTCCTCGCTCCCTCTCCACTCTCACCCGAACCATTCTCCTCCTCCGAATCAGAAAGCCTATTGTCTATCATCCCCGCTGTCGGTCCAGTGTACGCATGTAATGGCGGCGAACGGGGCGGTGAGACCGGGTAAGAAGCAGACGTGGGGAATGGTAAATCTCGCTGCGGTTGAGGTTGATGAAGCTGGTGTTGTTGTTGTGGTAACGGCGGTGGCGGCTGCGAAGAATACATCATATCAAGACTCGAAACGAAACTCGGAGCTCCACCCGTATTCGTAGCCGTAAGAGGAACCAACGAAGGTCCCGGTGAAGGATGGCTGAAGTCGTTCTGGTAGGGATAATGGTGTTGGTGTTGGTGGTGGGACATACTATGGGATGAATGCGTGTGGTTTTCGCTTATTGGAGATGAAGGAGGATTGTAAATGGAATAACGCCCGTTCGGGGACTGTGGTGGGCTGGGGACGACGGTATGATCGTCGGTGTAATGAGGGACTGTGGTGTCTTCAACAGGTATGCTGGGGAGAGTCGGAAGATCTCGGTCATGGCTTTTATGGTTTCGGCCTTGTGAGGTGGGTGGGTAAGGGAATCTTGAACATTCAAACAGTAAATAGTGATAAGCAGAACGCACCACTGAAAGGTTTGACTTGAGACATGGAGCGCTCCACTCTATCCGGTGCAAAGTCGCCGTCGAATTCAGAAAATGTTCGTTTCCGTTTCCAACGTCGGTAGAGGAGTAGGCATAGTACAAGCAGAGCTGCGAGACCAATTACACCTGGAATTGAGCATGAGTATCGTACCGCTGGAATGGAAGGAACGGGAGCGGGAACGCCAAGTAACGGAATGGATTGAAGCCAACGTACCTCCGACAACTCCCCCAACTATAGCGCCAGTTCTGCCGGAGCTGCTATTGATTGCTGAACTCGGCGCTCCCGTAACTACCGCGCCTGAATCTAACGTTGCTTCCGTCTCGTAAACTGTGGAGACCGCATTTCCGTTTGACAGGGTGCTGGAGGGGTATGAACCATAACGCGTCAGTGCATGGAACCGAATTGGGGAACGATCAAGACGCACACAACGGTAGTTTGGACGACGGTTGTGACGACCGAACTGGGAGATTTCGGGGGTGGTGACGGTGCTGCGCTTGAGGATTCTGATACTGTAGTCGTGCTAGTGCTACTAGGCGGAGGCGGCGGTTGCGAAGCGCTGCTCGATGAGGAACTTGGTGAAGATACAGAGGAAGAGGAAGAAGAGGCAGGTGACGATGAAGATGATGAGGGTATCGATGTAGATGCTGATGCAGATTCTGAGGATACAGAGGTTAAAGAGCGTGATGTTGTGCTGGTATTCGATGGTTCGGACGTCGAGCCTGCAAAAAGAATCAACTTATCTCTTCACTACCAGTCTGAAATAAAGCTAAACGTACCCGAACTCAAACTGCTCGGTGTAGATCCATCACTGGTTCTCGACGTGGCGGTACTCTCGGAGGTCGACATTCCTGAAGGTGCAACGGAAATCTAACGAGGGAAAATGTCCATCTGAGGACACAGCTGCTGAGTGAGATAAGGGTGAAAGGTAACGAATGAAAAAGGCGACCATCATCATGACATCTCGAGGAAACGAGAAATTTTGCAAATTACCTGAGCCGGTCTCGGCTGTTTAGATGGATCAGAATCGTGGAGTACTTTCGTAAAACTTACCTCGAGTTTCCCCGCTCTAGCCAAGATAACTACCGAGCTAAAACGATCTTCTCGAGTTCTAGGAGGTCTATCATACTATAGTCAACCAGAACAGAGGCGAACGAGTCTTCTTTTGAGAGACGGGGGCTAGATGAGGCGGAAGAACGGAGCAACATGAAATTATCCGGAGTCTAGGAATCATTGTGAGTGATGTCATACACAATACATAAGACCGTTTCGTTAGCAACGGTCCGGATATTCCCCGAGGCAATGGAAGACCAGAGCAAAACGAATCGGAATATGTCAGCACTTTCAGCTTTGAGCTGACGCGTTTCGCGAACTGAAGCACGCGCTCTTTGGATTTTGCATGATCGCGACATTGAACGGCAAATGATCGCTCAGGCACCTGCCAACTGTACTTTTTTTTTTACATCCGCAGCCTACTTTTCCCATATGTTTCGCACGCAAGACTTCCGAGTCGCCTCCGTTTCGGATTGTATTGTCCTAGCCCCAGGCAGGAGTTCAGGCTGCACCTCCTAGGTAGCAAAAATATCTCAACGAAGGGTCAATTTACGCTCTCGTCATTCTACGCGGACCTCCCGTACGACTACCTATACATGCTCCTCTTCACGACAGCACCCCGGTTTGATGCCTTGTATGTCTTGCGTCTTTCTTATCGTCTGTCATTGTGCTCCGTGTCCTTCCGTACCGCATTGATTGCCTTGGCATTCGTCCTTTCGACGCCGTGACGCATGATCCTTTTTTGGTCTCTCTTAGTCCGTCGAGCGCCGTCGAGAGGGCAACAATGATGACTAGAGGAAGGGCCACGAATACACGGCTCGGGGCTGCTTAGTATTCAGTGTTAGCTGGTGGGGGGGGATGAGAATTCTGATGCGACTCAGTGAGTCAGTACGAGACGAGGATTCAAGTGATTCCAGATTCCAGAATACCAATGGGTATACAGAGGGAGATTTGAACACCATTCAATGTCTTTCATCAGGTGTTGAAATGTAAACGTCTTTGGCGTAGAACAACTCCTTATCCGTCGGTACCAAAAAAGTTAACTTTAATTGACCCCCTGGATTGGACACACTGGGAATTGAACCCAGCACCCCCCGCATGACACATCTCATACCGCGATGCTAAGCGGATGTGATAACCATCTCCAATGTGCCCTTGGACAGAGTCTGAGTCAGAGCCTGATTCAAAGAGAATATCTCACTTACGGGGCGAGTAAGTACCACAGACTGGATTGTAAGACTGGAATTCGAGATGATGGCGCAGAAGATGTAATGATACTATGGATCAGTCCATAAGCGCTACGCTCTACTTAATGTATCTTGCTCTCTGACCGGTGTGCTAGAGCTATGAGAATCATCTGGAAATTAAATTAAAAGATCAACAGTACGATCATAAAAGGCGCAGAGTCTAAAACTCACCCCACACCAACTCGGGATACCTATGAACTCCCGCATGCCGCATTTCATCGCCTACATAGTCTAGCACGATTGAATATTCCGACGAAGCCCAGAATGTACCGATCCACTCATGGATATCCAACTTCGGGATCCCATATTTTTTCCAGTCCTCTTCGTCGAGGATGTCGTTTTTCCCGTTTAGGTCTAGGGACCTGTAGAATAAGCGGTCAAGCAGCGGATAACGGATGGAGTAAACCTGATCCGTAAAGTCTACAGGAACTGGAGGCACGAAGAGATAAACCGGAGTTCGAGAAGGCCTTTCAGAGTCGACGTGAAACGTGCCGACAAGAGAAAACCGAATCTCGTCAATAAACGCTAGATAGTAGCGAAGCATGTAGGTGTTAATGGTAGTAGGACCTGTTCGATAAATGCTCACCGAGATCGTGTAAGGGGGCCTTACTATCGTTGAGTAAACGCCTCGATTGGCTGAGGTACGCAGCTCGACGTCGGATTCCATTCGGAGAGCGTAGCGAAAAGTGGATGTGTGCTTGATTTCTCCCAGTGTTCCGGAAGGACAGATCGACACGCCATGGCACTAGATAGGTATTCAAGTCAGGACAAGCTGGGATTGCGTGAGATGAGTACATACCAGAGGTCGAGTACCTCGCTTCAACATCAACCCCCAAACTCTCACAATACCATTCAGGCTGCTCATCGCGGGTGGAGGGTAAATGTGCCACAATCCCAGGCTTCCTACGGTTCACAACCGCTCCAAAGGTGAGATATCCGTGTCGTGCAAACTCGGAGAGTGAGTCCTCGCCAACGTGCCTCGTCTCTCCTGAAGCCGCAATCATATACAAGAAGTCACCGAACTGATGTTCAAAGTACGCGACCACGTCGTCAGCGTTGAGTCGGGGCGTTCTCGTGCTTCCATAAAGCGGATTCTCTGGTTTGTAGACGATCGGATCGAAAGAGGTGTCGTCGGTTGGGAAGGAGATGGAGACTGTGAGAAGGTCGTACTTCCAAGACCCAGTTTTGAGACTGAAGGACCAACAGCTCAGCTCGCCGGAGACCTGTCCGGGACTCTACTATTAGTGGGGAGTGGATACTTGTATGAAAAACATACCGTCATCGTCGTAGTGCTATCCGTGTACAAAGTGAAAAATGAGGACATCTGGATAATGTGAGCCGAGACGGAATCATGTTGATACTGGCCGGAGAATACCTGCGTATACCAAAGGTAGTACCACACCACGAGGTCCTTTTCCCAGTACGTATCACTTAAGTCTTTCCCATTCACGAGCTCTACCATCCATTGGAGTATACTCAACTATAGCACATCAGGCCCCGGAACAAGCTACATACCATCGTGTACTATCAACGTCAGTCGTTCCGACCAGCCCAGTCCGACCAGTTGAGTTAACAGTGGCGATCTATCACAGTTGACCGAATCAGTGATGTAGAGATGTCTAAGAACACTCGCTTACTCACCGCTGACACGACATTTCTCGGCACACGCGGTCTGCTATCTACGAAAATGCGTCAGGTCATCCGACAGAGTGTTAAAGGTAATCACCACACAATGTTGAACTCGTCTGTTTGATCCTCTGACCCGGATGGCTCGACAGTTATACTCGTGAAACCTCCTGGAAGTCCAAGCACTGCAACATGGTCCACCGTCTTCTTGACTTTCAGCAGTCTAGGCTCTAGTGTTGATACGTGTTCCGATTCGACGGTCGGATGGGCGTGTAGAACTTCCGAAGACAAAGACTTCCGAACGATGATATCACCCATCGGGATTCTCCTGAACATGTTTCCTGACTAGAGTATCGATTCGAACTCCAGAGTAGACCGTCCCGCGACTCAGTAAATCTCCCATACCAAGTTCACAAAGTCCCTTTGGCCGTAGACGTTTGTCGTCACATCGCCACCTACGTTTTGGATAGTAGCGTAGTCGCCTATCCGGAATTGTTTGGCATTGCTGAAAAGGTTGCTTGACATGGCAAATTTTTTTGGGGAGGGAGGGGGGAATCGAATCCTGGGGAGGATAAGATAGGTAGTAAGAGCACACTAAATACAGGCCATTCGACCGAGCATCATATCCCCTTGGCCACAATCAATTCATCGAGCGGGATGCTATACGAAACTTGGTAATTCCATCACTGTGATCATTGGATGTATCAGTGACCGCAGCTGACATGCTATGTGTATATCGGCCTTCTTGCGCCGTGACTCGAAATAGTCGAATTTCGACGAAGGCTACCTATAGCTCTAGCCACCCAGCACTGGAATTACAAACCTTAGCCAGGTGGCAGACTCGTACCTCATCATACAGGCGTGTCTCATTGTCAGTAGTAGCCTGTCTTGATCCAGCGGAGGCGGGATAAAAATATCAATGAACAACATTAGTGGACACACTGGGAATTGAACCCAGCACCCCCCGCAGATGCCCAGCGAAGTAACATGCTAAGCGGATGTGATAACCAACTACACCATGTGCCCTCGGACGGCTGAGTGACAATAGGCAGTTTCCGTGACACGGTTGGCGTGCGAAAAGCATTGCGTCATACGAACTGTTCGATATTTTTCGGGATTTTGCGTTGCGTGAGGCCACCACCACCTGCAAATTTTACGTGCATCTCCCATGAGAAATTGAGCTCATGAGCAGTGTATGGCTCAGAGAGACACAGTTACTCTTCCTACCATTGAGAATTCTTGCTAGCTCCATCATCGATGCTTGCTCAATACATGCTCGGCACGAACGGTATTGGCTGATGCCATCATGGCTAGTTTCTTGCCAGTCTACAGCCCCTCCTAGCTGGTTCAACGACCATTTGTGGTACATTTGATGGCTGAGTGTCTCAAAACAACACTGTCAAGAACTTTGTTTCAAGGAGATTACTGTAGAATGAGAGGAATCGCGTATGGGTTTCAAGGTTGCCTCACGCAACGCAAAATCCCGAAAAATAACGAACGATTCGTATGACGCAATGCTTTTCGCACGCTAACCGTGTCACGCAAACTACCTAATACGGTTACAACAGCAAAACTCAAGACACGGCCTTGACCCAGTGTTCCTCGCGGTGTAGAGCCGGAGGGATGCTACAGCGGTCGCCGGAAGTCGTTCAGAAATACGCCTCAAGGGTCGAACTTCAGGGGATGGTTGAGGACGTGGCGACCCACAGACGAATACTTAGCGGACAACAATATCAGAGAATGGATACAAAAGCACGTTCAACACTCTCTCATGGAGATATTGCTCTCGAGGATGAAAAGCGAGTTTTAGAAACCAAGCTACGCCAAGGCTGGTGAAGCTGTATTGGTTCATCGACTTGTCACTTGAGTGCTTCCCGGACCCAATTGATTGTCTCGCCTGGGCCGAGTCTGGGATTGCTGGATGAATGAATCCTCTGGTACTAGTAAAGGAGCCTTTAAAAGATAACCATGGGTAACGGGGATGCGTGGTGGCTCGAGTTCAGAAAATGCTAGGAATGACTCCCACGCGATCGATTTGTCTCACGGGTGGACGCTTATGTCCCTTGGCCTCAAACTTCCATCACAACGGGCAAACGGCGAGTATCGGGCTTCCTGAGACCTAGGTAAAGCGTTTACCCTCTTTGTACTAGTGAGCTTATTTCCTCGAGTACATCGAGTACTCATAATCTGAACGGCCCGCATGCAATGATGCATAAACTGAACTTTCGTTCAACCTCCTGTTGTGACTCGTCGACGGTCGGACGATGTCACATATCTCTCTGGTGACAAAGCGCAGTCTAATTGAGTGTCCGTGGTCGTTTTTTTGATCATGCTCTAGCTTCTGATTCTGTATCCTCTTCAGTCTGGCTCCCGCTGTGATGACGCGTAGGCAAATCTGAATTGAACAGTCGAACTCGTAGCTATTTCGGATCTGGATTCTAGGGTACGCCTTACGAACAATCTCGTCCATTCTTTGTTACGACTAAAAGCTCTGTGCAACAGAGGGACAACAGGGGTGAAGTACCCTTTTCCAGCCCCAGCCCCAGCCCCAGCCTCCGCGGAGATATCGAATGATTTGCGCACACTTTCAGCACGAATCTCAATGCCCTGAAGAGAATGGTATGCTCGGAAAGACAGCCTCTACTCAGTTCTCACAGACGATGCAATCATGTGTTGAGATGCCCCCCTCGATCGCATGAGCCCTGCCAAAAGGGGACGAACCTCCCGTTCTCAAACAATTGATTTGCGGGTGCTTTACTGCGTAACAAAAGTGCTGTAGTGGCTGATAAATCACTCAGAGTGTTTATTGCCCCTTGCAGCTGTTGTCACAATTGCAGGCCACCCTCGGGAATCTATGTCTGACTAATCTATCCCACTCCACGGTGATATTACAGCGTACCTACTGACGGCTACAACCCCAAACGTCCTCCAGTTCATCCCCTTTTGCTCGTGAACGTTCGCAAGAATACAAAATATCGTGAGGCGGGAAGGAATTGGTCAGCCACGATTCCCTGAGGAAGACGCATGCTTGTCCCAAGAGCTGTAAAGTCGTTAAGTTGTTGGCCTCCTATTGGATGTCTTCGAATCCATTGTCCCGGAATTCAGTGTCCCGGTTCTGTTTGCTCTAATCAATGTGCTCGGACAAGTCATTGGCTTCCTACTTGATCCGTTCTCCTGAGTTCAGCCTCATCTTGGGTTCGTCCTCTTTGATCAATGCACTCGAACCAATTGCAACAACAAGAGTGCCGCCTTGTGTTTGTCATTCCCTACAGCAATTTAATTCTATCCGTTAGTCATGGATAAATTTGAGTTTTTTTTTGTATTGGTGGACATGACACAGAATCCAGACCAAGACAGCACGTAGACTATAGCGCTGACACACAAATTGGGACGGGACATATATGAACGGCATGCGAGGGACATATAATCATCTTCCCTTACCCCCACCAATTCAAGCCAACGCTGATATTGGTTTCCCCTCGAGTCCGGGTGGACGACAATGAACCATATCCTTACTCACGCCAGAAATGTTCAAATCGGTGCCAACGCTACCATACAAACCGTGACTGGCGATGCAACAACAAATATCTATCATCATCACAGAGAGGACTTGATCAATTTGGTACGTCGCTTGCACAAATAGCTACTATTTCTGTCTTGATTGTCGAGTCTAGTGTGGTGGTATGTTTAGGAGGATCCTCACGGGTGACATTATCGTGCGAAGGAATGTTTCTGCAGAGGTTCTGGAGGTCCCCGTTCAACCTCAACGACAAGGACCCGTGCCCAGGACATCACAGCCGCAGTCCACAGTCATGAAAGTCAAGAAGGTTGTACAACATATTGAGATAATCGGAATTCGGGAAAGATTTACGAGAATAACACTCGAACCTATGGGAGAAGATGGAGAAGACTTCAGGGTGGTGAGCCCACGTCTCCAGGGTGTTTGGTTCAGAATTTTGATGAATTAATGCAGATAGTGGAGCGTATATGCAGAGAAATGGCATCTCAGCGGTATGTTGGAATACCCGCCCACAGAATAAGTGCCTATTAACTTAGTATCAGGTTGCCAAATATCACTCAATTGTTCGGATTGGGTTGGTCAGAACGCTTGTCGTTGATTGTGCACGATGGTCAGTCCCCTCGTCTGTGACTGTGATTGTGGATACTGACAATTGTTATGTAGAACTTGTCGACGGAAAGAAATTCATCGATCAATTTGTGGCGGAGGGAAATTGGGCTGTCTGGTTCTACCTTTGGTATACACAGGTATGTCTGTCTTTTCAAAATCCCCAGTCCACTAAGCGTGTTATTAGCGAGCATCACGCTTTGCTTTGTCCGCAGACAAGACATTGGCAGTCCCTGTGGGTACTTACATTCTTTATGTCACACAACACCTACTAATACGTGGCACTATAGGTTTCAGCTGAGTGGGGCTTTTGGACGTTCAACCCAAGAACCCACACTTGGCAATACGATATTTCTTCCGTCTCCCTTTTACCTCCCAGAACCAATATCTCTTTTGGCTCGCTCATGTATCCCCCTAAGCCTCTTCACCAACAAACGTGTCCCCGACTGTGCGCTGTCGCAATTGTCGCCTACCTTGAACAGCAGCTCGGCAACTTCTTGCGCCTGGTTGCGTCATTCGGGGAGACGAGGCATGTTAAGAGACTCTCCGACTTTGCACGGCATGGTCTTCTCACTTTCGGGGCCGTTGTCGACCGGCACAGACCCAGAATCCTTGCTTATCTCCCCTTTGCTCCCATCCCGGCATGGGTCTGCCACAATTTCAGTGCCGACGTAGAAGTGGTTTACTCTGCCACAGGTATGTCCTTATACCGAGTCCATCTTCCGTTTGCTGACTTGTGTAGTAGCATCCCGTGTCGACTTTCCTTTCGGCCAACCCGAGGTCAATGTAAACCTTCACTTCATCTTGCGCTTTCCAGACGAGATACGACAACGCACTGCCTACCTCATCCAGTCTCTCCCGTTTGTCAAAGACTGTCATGACCCATATAGCAATCTTGGCAAGCACACCTCAATCTCTTGCCTTCCTTTGACTGATAGCTTTCTTTCTTAGTGTTCATTACCGATATTCAGTTTTCTCTTGTCGGCACGATCTACAATACCCCTAAAACAGCTTCCACTCCGGTTTATCTCTTTGTTCCCCCTATTCCTATCATAGAGCATAGCAAGGGGATGTATTCAGTACGTTATCCCCTTGTCAGCCCGTTTTTCTACTGGTCCTTCGATCCAAATGGGCGACACGCAATATCTGAGGATGATTGGAAGACGCATGACATCCCAAGGCTGAAGGTCCTGTCATGGATCGGTGCCTCATGGGGCAACGGGCCATATAATGTGGCTCACGAGTACCTTCAAATTAAACAATATAGTTCTGATGGGAGGCAATACGCTTGGGAACGGGGTCATTCTGTGCTAGTACAAGGTAGGCCTCACATTCGTTAGCTCTCATTGACCTTGCGGCACCCATTTATTAAAATTCATCAGGTGATCCTCACTACGCAGGCACGGTTTGTGATGAGGACAAGTTGTATTTCGACTCAGACAGTGAGTTGCTGCTCCCAGGGTGCAAAGGCATCCGCTCACTCTGATTCTCCCACGAAGTCTTTTCGAATTCCAGTATCTCTCGTCCTGAAAGACACAAAAGAGGGAGCGTTTCCAATATTGCAATTATCTCCGGAGAGATTCCCGAGTTTGTTTTTGCCACACACTCACGGCTACACAACCCATCTAGGAAACCCAAGAGAATGTCCCAAGCTGAATCACCGGGTTCTGTCAATGGAGCATCAGTGGAACGACTTCGGAAACGAAGGAGAATGTGATCTACCTCAAGTTTTGTTTGGCACATAATCGACTCCTTGTATACTTACTTCATTTCCCACATGACTTCGTTGGTTCAAAGGCCGAATATGCCACAATTTGATTGAGCGCATTAGGTAGCCACAGAAAATCGTTCTGGTTCATTGGATATGTCCAGAACGGTTCGCTATTGTATTCCACTGGAT